TGGGTGTGTGGCTAGCCAAACATTCATGTCATTATTGACTGGGTGGGTGGCTAGCCAAACATTCATGTCATTATTGACTGGGTCTGTGGCTAGCCAAACATTCATGTCATTATTGACTGGGTGTGTGGCTAGCCAAACATTCATGTCATTATTGACTGGGTGGGTGGCTAGCCAAACATTCATGTCATTATTGACTGGGTGGGTGGCTAGCCAAACATTCATGTCATTATTGACTGGGTCTGTGGCTAGCCAAACATTCATGTCATTATTGACTGGGTGGGTGGCTAGCCAAACATTCATGTCATTATTGACTGGGTGGGTGGCTAGCCAAACATTCATGTCATTATTGACTGGGTGTGTGGCTAGCCAAACATTCATGTCATTATTGACTGGGTCTGTGGCTAGCCAAACATTCATGTCATTATTGACTGGGTCTGTGGCTAGCCAAACATTCATGTCATTATTGACTGGGTCTGTGGCTAGCCAAACATTCATGTCATTATTGACTGGGTGTGTGGCTAGCCAAACATTCATGTCATTATTGACTGGGTCTGTGGCTAGCCAAACATTCATCTCATTATTGACTGGGTCTGTGGCTAGCCAAACATTCATGTCATTATTGACTGTGTGGCTAGCCAAACATTCATGTCATTATTGACTGGGTCTGTGGCTAGCCAAACATTCATCTCATTATTGACTGGGTGGCTAGCCAAACATTCATGTCATTATTGACTGGGTCTGTGGCTAGCCAAACATTCATGTCATTATTGACTGGGTCTGTGGCTAGCCAAACATTCATGTCATTATTGACTGGGTCTGTGGCTAGCCAAACATTCATGTCATTATTGACTGTGTGGCTAGCCAAACATTCATGTCATTATTGACTGGGTGGGTGGCTAGCCAAACATTCATGTCATTATTGACTGGGTCTGTGGCTAGCCAAACATTCATGTCATTATTGACTGTGTGGCTAGCCAAACATTCATGTCATTATTGACTGGGTCTGTGGCTAGCCAAACATTCATGTCATTATTGACTGGATCTGTAGCTAGCCAAACATTCATGTCATTATTGACTGGGTGGCTAGCCAAACATTCATGTCATTATTGACTGGATCTGTGGCTAGCCAAACATTCATGTCATTATTGACTGGGTGGGTGGCTAGCCAAACATTCATGTCATTATTGACTGGGTCTGTGGCTAGCCAAACATTCATCTCATTATTGACTGGGTGTGTGGCTAGCCAAACATTCATGTCATTATTGACTGGGTCTGTGGCTAGCCAAACATTCATGTCATTATTGACTGGGTCTGTGGCTAGCCAAACATTCATGTCATTATTGACTGTGTGGCTAGCCAAACATTCATGTCATTATTGACTGGGTCTGTGGCTAGCCAAACATTCATGTCATTATTGACTGGGTGTGTGGCTAGCCAAACATTCATGTCATTATTGACTGGGTGGGTGGCTAGCCAAACATTCATGTCATTATTGACTGGGTCTGTGGCTAGCCAAACATTCATGTCATTATTGACTGTGGCTAGCCAAACATTCATGTCATTATTGACTGGGTGGCTAGCCAAACATTCATCTCATTATTGACTGGGTCTGTGGCTAGCCAAACATTCATGTCATTATTGACTGGGTCTGTGGCTAGCCAAACATTCATGTCATTATTGACTGGGTGTGTGGCTAGCCAAACATTCATGTCATTATTGACTGGGTCTGTGGCTAGCCAAACATTCATGTCATTATTGACTGGGTCTGTGGCTAGCCAAACATTCATGTCATTATTGACTGGGTCTGTGGCTAGCCAAACATTCATGTCATTATTGACTGTGGCTAGCCAAACATTCATGTCATTATTGACTGTGTGGCTAGCCAAACATTCATGTCATTATTGACTGGGTCTGTGGCTAGCCAAACATTCATGTCATTATTGACTGGGTGGCTAGCCAAACATTCATCTCATTATTGACTGGGTCTGTGGCTAGCCAAACATTCATGTCATTATTGACTGGGTGTGTGGCTAGCCAAACATTCATGTCATTATTGACTGGGTGGGTGGCTAGCCAAACATTCATGTCATTATTGACTGGGTCTGTGGCTAGCCAAACATTCATGTCATTATTGACTGGGTCTGTGGCTAGCCAAACATTCATGTCATTATTGACTGGGTCTGTGGCTAGCCAAACATTCATGTCATTATTGACTGGGTCTGTGGCTAGCCAAACATTCATGTCATTATTGACTGGGTGGGTGGCTAGCCAAACATTCATCTCATTATTGACTGGGTGGGTGGCTAGCCAAACATTCATCTCATTATTGACTGGGTCTGTGGCTAGCCAAACATTCATGTCATTATTGACTGGGTCTGTGGCTAGCCAAACATTCATGTCATTATTGACTGGGTCTGTGGCTAGCCAAACATTCATGTCATTATTGACTGGGTGTGTGGCTAGCCAAACATTCATGTCATTATTGACTGGGTCTGTGGCTAGCCAAACATTCATGTCATTATTGACTGGGTCTGTGGCTAGCCAAACATTCATGTCATTATTGACTGTGTGGCTAGCCAAACATTCATGTCATTATTGACTGGGTCTGTGGCTAGCCAAACATTCATGTCATTATTGACTGGGTGTGTGGCTAGCCAAACATTCATGTCATTATTGACTGGGTGGGTGGCTAGCCAAACATTCATGTCATTATTGACTGGGTCTGTGGCTAGCCAAACATTCATGTCATTATTGACTGTGGCTAGCCAAACATTCATGTCATTATTGACTGTGTGGCTAGCCAAACATTCATGTCATTATTGACTGGGTCTGTGGCTAGCCAAACATTCATGTCATTATTGACTGGGTCTGTGGCTAGCCAAACATTCATGTCATTATTGACTGGGTCTGTGGCTAGCCAAACATTCATGTCATTATTGACTGGGTCTGTGGCTAGCCAAACATTCATGTCATTATTGACTGGGTCTGTGGCTAGCCAAACATTCATCTCATTATTGACTGGGTGGCTAGCCAAACATTCATGTCATTATTGACTGGGTGTGTGGCTAGCCAAACATTCATGTCATTATTGACTGGGTCTGTGGCTAGCCAAACATTCATGTCATTATTGACTGGGTCTGTGGCTAGCCAAACATTCATGTCATTATTGACTGTGGCTAGCCAAACATTCATGTCATTATTGACTGTGTGGCTAGCCAAACATTCATGTCATTATTGACTGGGTCTGTGGCTAGCCAAACATTCATGTCATTATTGACTGGGTGTGTGGCTAGCCAAACATTCATGTCATTATTGACTGGGTGGCTAGCCAAACATTCATCTCATTATTGACTGGGTCTGTGGCTAGCCAAACATTCATGTCATTATTGACTGGGTGTGTGGCTAGCCAAACATTCATGTCATTATTGACTGGGTGGCTAGCCAAACATTCATGTCATTATTGACTGGGTCTGTGGCTAGCCAAACATTCATGTCATTATTGACTGGGTGTGTGGCTAGCCAAACATTCATGTCATTATTGACTGGGTCTGTGGCTAGCCAAACATTCATGTCATTATTGACTGGGTCTGTGGCTAGCCAAACATTCATGTCATTATTGACTGGGTGGGTGGCTAGCCAAACATTCATGTCATTATTGACTGGGTGGCTAGCCAAACATTCATGTCATTATTGACTGGGTCTGTGGCTAGCCAAACATTCATGTCATTATTGACTGGGTGGGTGGCTAGCCAAACATTCATGTCATTATTGACTGGGTCTGTGGCTAGCCAAACATTCATGTCATTATTGACTGGGTGGCTAGCCAAACATTCATCTCATTATTGACTGGGTCTGTGGCTAGCCAAACATTCATGTCATTATTGACTGTGTGGCTAGCCAAACATTCATGTCATTATTGACTGGGTCTGTGGCTAGCCAAACATTCATGTCATTATTGACTGGGTGTGTGGCTAGCCAAACATTCATGTCATTATTGACTGGGTCTGTGGCTAGCCAAACATTCATGTCATTATTGACTGGGTGGCTAGCCAAACATTCATGTCATTATTGACTGGGTGGGTGGCTAGCCAAACATTCATGTCATTATTGACTGGGTCTGTGGCTAGCCAAACATTCATGTCATTATTGACTGGGTCTGTGGCTAGCCAAACATTCATGTCATTATTGACTGGGTGGCTAGCCAAACATTCATGTCATTATTGACTGGGTGGCTAGCCAAACATTCATGTCATTATTGACTGGGTCTGTGGCTAGCCAAACATTCATGTCATTATTGACTGGGTGGCTAGCCAAACATTCATGTCATTATTGACTGGGTCTGTGGCTAGCCAAACATTCATGTCATTATTGACTGGGTGTGTGGCTAGCCAAACATTCATGTCATTATTGACTGGGTCTGTGGCTAGCCAAACATTCATGTCATTATTGACTGGGTCTGTGGCTAGCCAAACATTCATGTCATTATTGACTGGGTGGCTAGCCAAACATTCATGTCATTATTGACTGGGTGGCTAGCCACACATTCATCTCATTATTGACTGGGTGGGTGGCTAGCCAAACATTCATGTCATTATTGACTGGGTGTGTGGCTAGCCAAACATTCATGTCATTATTGACTGGGTCTGTGGCTAGCCAAACATTCATGTCATTATTGACTGGGTCTGTGGCTAGCCAAACATTCATCTCATTATTGACTGGGTGGGTGGCTAGCCAAACATTCATGTCATTATTGACTGGGTGTGTGGCTAGCCAAACATTCATGTCATTATTGACTGGGTCTGTGGCTAGCCAAACATTCATGTCATTATTGACTGGGTCTGTGGCTAGCCAAACATTCATGTCATTATTGACTGGGTGGCTAGCCAAACATTCATGTCATTATTGACTGGGTCTGTGGCTAGCCAAACATTCATGTCATTATTGACTGGGTGGCTAGCCAAACATTCATGTCATTATTGACTGTGGCTAGCCAAACGAACCTGAGGCAGAAGCAAAGCAGGCAGATTTGAGTGGTGCCCAGGACACGTGGTAGACGATGTGATCATGGCCAGGAAATGTTCCAATGGACTTGCTGGCATTTATGTCCCACTGGGGAGGAAAGCCAGTCAGATAGTCAGGAGACTAAGTCAGATAGTCAGGAGACTAAGTCAGATAGTCAGGAGACTAAGTCAGATAGTCAGGAGACTAAGTCAGATAGTCAGGAGACTAAGTCAGATAGTCAGGAGACTAAGTCAGATAGTCAGGAGACTAAGTCAGATAGTCAGGAGACTAAGTCAGATAGTCAGGAGACTAAGTCAGATAGTCAGGAGACTAAGTCAGATAGTCAGGAGACTAAGTCAGATAGTCAGGAGACTAAGTCAGATAGTCAGGAGACTAAGTCAGATAGTCAGGAGACTAAGTCAGATAGTCAGGAGACTAAGTCAGATAGTCAGGAGACTAAGTCAGATAGTCAGGAGACTAATAGTCAGTTTGGCTTAGTTGTTCAATGTCAGTCAAGTTAATCAGTAGATATATTAACTCTATATTAGTAAAGCAATCATGACTGTAAGATAGGAAAAAATATAATCCAGCTTTATGTTTTAATGTTACTATGAGAAAATAATTTTCTCGCAATTTCCAATATTCCACCATATCACAGTACATTCGAGTAAACTTTCTGGTACCATACATTGTATAGTGGAAACTTAACTTTCTTAAAACAAAAATTTTATCTGGATCAGAAAATTTAACTGGAAATGGCCATTAAACCGAAAATGAATTTAACCAATATTTAGCCAATATTTAACCAATATTTAACCAATATTAAACTAATATTTAACCAATATTTAACCAATATTTAACCAATATTTAACCAATATTTAACCAATATTTAACCAATATTTAAACTAGATTGAGAAATTGAACAGGAAACGGAAAATTAACCAGCAACACCCATGTAAGCGCAGACTAAATGTAATAAAAAATGTAACTGTATCCGGAGCCCTCATTTTAATTGGCACTGACACCGGACACACAATTTCGACCAGAAAAGATAATTTAAATGAAAAAATAAACTTAAACCAGAGAGAGAGAGAGAGAGAACAGTTAAACCATAAATCTAACCAATTTAATCAACTTGTCCCAGGATCCACTCAAAACAAAGTTTTCATTCCTTGTTTGACACCATTCAACTGCATTGACCTGGCAACAATAGTTCACAAAACATTGACCTGGCAACAATAGTTCACAAAACATTGACTAGGCAACAATAGTTCCCAAAACATTGACCTGGCAACAATAGTTCACAAAATATTGACCTGGCAACAATAGTTCACAAAACATTGACTAGGCAACAATAGTTCACAAAACATTGACTAGGCAACAATAGTTCACAAAACATTGACCTGGCAACAATAGTTCACAAAACATTGACCTGGCAACAATAGTTCACAAAATATTGACCTGGCAACAATAGTTCACAAAACATTGACCTGGCAACAATAGTTCACAAAACATTGACCTGGCAACAATAGTTCACAAAACATTGACCTGGCAACAATAGTTCACAAAACATTGACCTGGCAACAATAGTTCACAAAACATTAACTAGGCAACAATAGTTCACAAAACATTGACCTGGCAACAATAGTTCACAAAACATTGACCTGGCAACAATAGTTCACAAAACATTGACCTGGCAACAATAGTTCACAAAACATTAACTAGGCAACAATAGTTCACAAAACATTGACCTGGCAACAATAGTTCACAAAACATTGACTAGGCAACAATAGTTCACAAAACATTGACCTGGCAACAATAGTTCACAAAACATTGACCTGGCAACAATAGTTCACAAAACATTGACCTGGCAACAATAGTTCACAAAACATTGACCTGGCAACAATAGTTCACAAAACATTGACCTGGCAACAATAGTTCACAAAACATTGACCTGGCAACAATAGTTCACAAAACATTGACCTGGCAACAATAGTTCACAAAACATTGACCTGGCAACAATAGTTCACAAAACATTGACCTGGCAACAATAGTTCACAAAACATTGACCTGGCAACAATAGTTCACAAAACATTGACCTGGCAACAATAGTTCACAAAACATTGACCTGGCAACAATAGTTCACAAAACATTGACCTGGCAACAATAGTTCACAAAACATTGACCTGGCAACAATAGTTCACAAAACATTGACCTGGCAACAATAGTTCACAAAACATTGACCTGGCAACAATAGTTCACAAAACATTGACCTGGCAACAATAGTTCACAAAACATTGACCAGGCAACAATAATTCACAAAACATTGACCTGGCAACAATAATTCACAAAACATTGACCTGGCAACAATAGTTCACAAAACATTGACCTGGCAACAATAGTTCACAAAACATTGACCTGGCAACAATAGTTCACAAAACATTGACCTGGCAACAATAGTTCACAAAACATTGACCTGGCAACAATAGTTCACAAAACATTGACCTGGCAACAATAGTTCACAAAACATTGACCTGGCAACAATAGTTCACAAAACATTGACCTGGCAACAATAGTTCACAAAACATTGACCTGGCAACAATAATTCACAAAACATTGACCTGGCAACAATAATTCACAAAACATTGACCTGGCAACAATAGTTCACAAAACATTGACTGGCAACAATAGTTCACAAAACATTGACTAGGCAACAATAGTTCACAAAAAATTACATATAAGTTATTTTTTTCAACAAATAAAAAAAAAGTTGAACTTACCTCTTTGGTGTGTTCTTGCCAAACTTTGAGGGGACCCTGTAGAAATCATAACGCCTTGGATTAAACAATAGAATAGGGTTAAATTACTGATACTGCCAGTAAGTTAGGGTTAAATTACTGCCAGTAAGTTAGGGTTAAATTACTGCCAGTAAGTTAGGGTTAAATTACTGACAGTAAGTTAGGGTTAAATTACTGACAGTAAGTTAGGGTTAAATTACTGATACTGCCAGTAAGTTAGGGTTAAATTACTGACAGTAAGTTAGGGTTAAATTACTGCCAGTAAGTTAGGGTTAGATTACTGACAGTAATTAGGGTTAAATTACAGCCAGTAAGTTAGGGTTACATTACTGACAGTAAGTTAGGGTTAAATTACTGATACTGCGAGTAAGTTAGGGTTAAATTACTGCCAGTAAGTTAGGGTTAAATTACTGCCAATAAGTTTAGGTTAAATTACTGACAGTAAGTTAGGGTTAAATTACTGACAGTAAGTTAGGGTTAAATTACTGCCAGTAAGTTAGGGTTAAATTACTGCCAGTAAGTTAGGGTTAAATTACTGACAGTAAGTTAGGGTTAAATTACTGCCAGTAAGTTAGGGTTAAATTACTGACAGTAAGTTAGGGTTAAATTACTGATACTGCGAGTAAGTTAGGGTTAGATTACTGACAGTAATTAGGGTTAAATTACAGCCAGTAAGTTAGGGTTAAATTACTGCCAGTAAGTTAGGGTTAGATTACTGACAGTAATTAGGGTTAAATTACAGCCAGTAAGTTAGGGTTAAGTTACTAACAGTAAGTTAGGGTTAAATTACTGCCAGTAGGTATTAGAAGACTGAAGCAAGCACCTTAGTCTGGCCTAAGGTTAAGGTTAGGGTTGGTTAGAAGACTGAAGCAAGCACCTTAGTCTGGCCTAAGGTTAGGGTTAGGGTTGGTTAGAAGACTGAAGCAAGCACCTTAGTCTGGCCTAGGGTTAGGGTTGGTTAGAAGACTGAAGCAAGCACCTTAGTCTGGCCTAAAATTAAGGTTAGGGTTGGTTAGAAGACTGAAGCAAGCACCTTAGTCTGGCCTAAGGTTAGGGTTAGGGTTGGTTAGAAGACTGAAGCAAGCACCTTAGTCTGGCCTAGGGTTAGGGTTGGTTAGAAGACTGAAGCAAGCACCTTAGTCTGGCCTAAGGTTAGGGTTAGGGTTGGTTAGAAGACTGAAGCAAGCACCTTAGTCTGGCCTAGGGTTAGGGTTGGTTAGAAGACTGAAGCAAGCACCTTAGTCTGGCCTAAGGTTAGGGTTGGTTAGAAGACTGAAGCAAGCACCTTAGTCTGGCCTAAGGTTAGGGTTAGGGTTGGTTAGAAGACTGAAGCAAGCACCTTAGTCTGGCCTAAGGTTAGGGTTGGTTAGAAGACTGAAGCAAGCACCTTAGTCTGGCCTAAGGTTAGGGTTGGTTAGAAGACTGAAGCAAGCACCTTAGTCTGGCCTAAGGTTAGGGTTAGGGTTGGTTAGAAGACTGAAGCAAGCACCTTAGTCTGGCCTAGGGTTAGGGTTGGTTAGAAGACTGAAGCAAGCACCTTAGTCTGGCCTAAAATTAAGGTTAGGGTTGGTTAGAAGACTGAAGCAAGCACCTTAGTCTGGCCTAAGGTTAGGGTTAGGGTTGGTTAGAAGACTGAAGCAAGCACCTTAGTCTGGCCTAGGGTTAGGGTTGGTTAGAAGACTGAAGCAAGCACCTTAGTCTGGCCTAAGGTTAGGGTTAGGGTTGGTTAGAAGACTGAAGCAAGCACCTTAGTCTGGCCTAAGGTTAGGGTTAGGGTTGGTTAGAAGACTGAAGCAAGCACCTTAGTCTGGCCTAAGGTTAGGGTTGGTTAGAAGACTGAAGCAAGCACCTTAGTCTGGCCTAAGGTTAGGGTTAGGGTTGGTTAGAAGACTGAAGCAAGCACCTTAGTCTGGCCTAAGGTTAGGGTTGGTTAGAAGACTGAAGCAAGCACCTTAGTCTGGCCTAAGGTTAGGGTTAGGGTTGGTTAGAAGACTGAAGCAAGCACCTTAGTCTGGCCTAAGGTTAGGGTTGGTTAGAAGACTGAAGCAAGCACCTTAGTCTGGCCTAAGGTTAGGGTTGGTTAGAAGACTGAAGCAAGCACCTTAGTCTGGCCTAAAATTAAGGTTAGGGTTGGTTAGAAGACTGAAGCAAGCACCTTAGTCTGGCCTAAGGTTAGGGTTAGGGTTGGTTAGAAGACTGAAGCAAGCACCTTAGTCTGGCCTAGGGTTAGGGTTGGTTAGAAGACTGAAGCAAGCACCTTAGTCTGGCCTAAGGTTAGGGTTAGGGTTGGTTAGAAGACTGAAGCAAGCACCTTAGTCTGGCCTAAGGTTAGGGTTAGGGTTGGTTAGAAGACTGAAGCAAGCACCTTAGTCTGGCCTAAGGTTAGGGTTGGTTAGAAGACTGAAGCAAGCACCTTAGTCTGGCCTAGGGTTAGGGTTGGTTAGAAGACTGAAGCAAGCACCTTAGTCTGGCCTAAAATTAAGGTTAGGGTTGGTTAGAAGACTGAAGCAAGCACCTTAGTCTGGCCTAGGGTTAGGGTTGGTTAGAAGACTGAAGCAAGCACCTTAGTCTGGCCTAAAATTAAGGTTAGGGTTGGTTAGAAGACTGAAGCAAGCACCTTAGTCTGGCCTAGGGTTAGGGTTGGTTAGAAGACTGAAGCAAGCACCTTAGTCTGGCCTAAGGTTAGGGTTAGGGTTGGTTAGAAGACTGAAGCAAGCACCTTAGTCTGGCCTAAGGTTAGGGTTAGGGTTGGTTAGAAGACTGAAGCAAGCACCTTAGTCTGGCCTAAGGTTAGGGTTGGTTAGAAGACTGAAGCAAGCACCTTAGTCTGGCCTAAGGTTAGGGTTAGGGTTGGTTAGAAGACTGAAGCAAGCACCTTAGTCTGGCCTAAGGTTAGGGTTAGGGTTGGTTAGAAGACTGAAGCAAGCACCTAAGTCTGGCCTAAGGTTAGGGTTGGTTAGAAGACTGAAGCAAGCACCTTAGTCTGGCCTAGGGTTAGGGTTGGTTAGAAGACTGAAGCAAGCACCTTAGTCTGGCCTAAGGTTAGGGTTAGGGTTGGTTAGAAGACTGAAGCAAGCACCTTAGTCTGGCCTAAGGTTAGGGTTGGTTAGAAGACTGAAGCAAGCACCTTAGTCTGGCCTAGGGTTAGGGTTGGTTAGAAGACTGAAGCAAGCACCTTAGTCTGGCCTAAGGTTAGGGTTGGTTAGAAGACTGAAGCAAGCACCTTAGTCTGGCCTAGGGTTAGGGTTGGTTAGAAGACTGAAGCAAGCACCTTAGTCTGGCCTAAGGTTAGGGTTGGTTAGAAGACTGAAGCAAGCACCTTAGTCTGGCCTAAGGTTAGGGTTGGTTAGAAGACTGAAGCAAGCACCTTAGTCTGGCCTAAGGTTAGGGTTGGTTAGAAGACTGAAGCAAGCACCTTAGTCTGGCCTAAGGTTAGGGTTAGGGTTGGTTAGAAGACTGAAGCAAGCACCTAAGTCTGGCCTAAGGTTAGGGTTGGTTAGAAGACTGAAGCAAGCACCTTAGTCTGGCCTAAGGTTAGGGTTGGTTAGAAGACTGAAGCAAGCACCTTAGTCTGGCCTAAGGTTAGGGTTGGTTAGAAGACTGAAGCAAGCACCTTAGTCTGGCCTAAGGTTAGGGTTAGGGTTGGTTAGAAGACTGAAGCAAGCACCTAAGTCTGGCCTAAGGTTAGGGTTGGTTAGAAGACTGAAGCAAGCACCTTAGTCTGGCCTAAGGTTAGGGTTGGTTAGAAGACTGAAGCAAGCACCTTAGTCTGGCCTAGGGTTAGGGTTGGTTAGAAGACTGAAGCAAGCACCTTAGTCTGGCCTAAGGTTAGGGTTGGTTAGAAGACTGAAGCAAGCACCTTAGTCTGGCCTAGGGTTAGGGTTGGTTAGAAGACTGAAGCAAGCACCTTAGTCTGGCCTAAGGTTAGGGTTGGTTAGAAGACTGAAGCAAGCACCTTAGTCTGGCCTAGGGTTAGGGTTGGTTAGAAGACTGAAGCAAGCACCTTAGTCTGGCCTAGGTCCCAGATTTGTATGGATCCATCCCCGCCTGCAGTGATGAAAATATTTTCATTGTTCTCTGCCCATGTCACGTCAAACAATCCATCATTCCAGTCAAATTGTTGGACAAGTCTCAGTTGACTGGTGCACACGTCCAATATGTAAACAGTCCCACATCCTGTACAGATCACATCAAACTAGTCAACACAACAATATTCAAACGTCCAATATGTAAACAGTCCCACATCCTGTACAGATCACATCAAACTAGTCAACACAACAATATTCAAACGTCCAATATGTAAACAGTCCCACATCCTGTACAGATCACATCAAACTAGTCAACTCAACAATATTCAAACGTCCAATATGTAAACAGTCCCACATCCTGTACAGATCACATCAAACTAGTCAACTCAACAATATTCAAACGTCCAATATGTAAACAGTCCCACATCCTGTACAGATCACATCAAACTAGTCAACTCAACAATATTCAAACGTCCAATATGTAAACAGTCCCACATCCTGTACAGATCACATCAAACTAGTCAACACAACAATATTCAAACTGATCGAACAATTCAGCAGGATACAATGAACTTACATGACGTGTCAAGTAGCTCTAATGATGTCATGCCAGTGTACAATGAACTGACATGACGTGTCAAGTAGCTCTAATGATGTCATGCCAGTGTACAATGAACTGACATGTTTCAAGTAGCTCTAATGATGTCATGCCAGTGTACAATGAACTGACATGTTTCAAGTAGCTCTAATGATGTCATGCCAGTGTACAATGAACTGACATGTTTCAAGTAGCTCTAATGATGTCATGCCAGTGTACAATGAACTGACATGTTTCAAGTAGCTCTAATGATGTCATGCCAGTGTACAATGAACTGACACACACAACTATCTATACAGTGCATAACATTTTACAATGATAATAATAAAATGGTAAAGGTGTACACAGTGGAGCAAGAGAAATCCTAAGATAGACAAGGTAACAATGTGCTACTGGTAAGATAGACAAGGTAACAATGTGCTACTGGTAAGATGGACAAGGTAACAATGTGCTACTAGTAAGATAGACAAGGTAACAATGTGCTACTGGTAAGATGGACAAGGTAACAATGTGCTACTAGTAAGATAGACAAGGTAACAATGTGCTACTGGTAAGATAGACAAGGTAACAATGTGCTACTGGTAAGCTAGACAAGGTAACAATGTGCTACTGGTAAGATGGACAAGGTAACAATGTGCTACTGGTAAGATAGACATGGTAACAAAGTGCTACTGGTAAGATAGACAAGGTAACAGTGTGCTACTGGTTAGATAGACAAGGTAACAATGTGCTACTGGTAAGATGAACAAGGTAACAATGTGCTACTGGTAAGATAGACAAGGTAACAATGACAAGTATCTGAAAGATCTCAACCAGACAAGTATCTGAAAGATCTCAACCAGACAAGTATCTGAAAGATCTCAACCAGACAAGTATCTGAAAGATCTCAACCAGACAAGTATCTGAAAGATCTCAGACAAGTATCTGAAAGATCTCAACCAGACAAGTATCTGAAAGATCTCAACCAGACAAGTATCTGAAAGATCTCAGACAAGTATCTGAAAGATCTCAGACAAGTATCTGAAAGATCTCAACCAGACAAGTATCTGAAAGATCTCAACCAGACAAGTATCTGAAAGATCTCAACCAGACAAGTATCTGAAAGATCTCAACCAGACAAGTATCTGAAAGATCTCAGACACGTATCTGAAAGATCTCAGACAAGTATCTGAAAGATCTCAGACAAGTATCTGAAAGATCTCAGACAAGTATCTGAAAGATCTCAGACAAGTATCTGAAAGATCTCAACCAGACAAGTATCTGAAAGATCTCAGACAAGTATCTGAAAGATCTCAGACAAGTATCTGAAAGATCTCAACCAGACAAGTATCTGAAAGATCTCAGACAAGTATCTGAAAGATCTCAACCAGACAAGTATCTGAAAGATCTCAGACAAGTATCTGAAAGATCTCAGACAAGTATCTGAAAGATCTCAGACAAGTATCTGAAAGATCTCAGACAAGTATCTGAAAGATCTCAACCAGACAAGTATCTGAAAGATCTCAGACAAGTATCTGAAAGATCTCAGACAAGTATCTGAAAGATCTCAGACAAGTATCTGAAAGATCTCAACCAGACAAGTATCTGAAAGATCTCAGACAAGTATCTGAAAGATCTCAACCAGACAAGTATCTGAAAGATCTCAGACAAGTATCTGAAAGATCTCAGACAAGTATCTGAAAGATCTCAGACAAGTATCTGAAAAATCTCAACCAGACAAGTATCTGAAAGATCTCAACCAGACAAGTATCTGAAAGATCTCAACCAGACAAGTATCTGAAAGATCTCAGACAAGTATCTGAAAGATCTCAACCAGACAAGTATCTGAAAGATCTCAGACAAGTATCTGAAAGATCTCAACCAGACAAGTATCTGAAAGATCTCAGACAAGTATCTGAAAGATCTCAGACAAGTATCTGATAGAAAAAATGATCAATGGATAACTGCACAAGCAGGGAAGAGAGCAGAACCTGAAACAACATCTACTCAGTTCTGTTCATGGACATTTTTTGTTGAACATCTACTCAGTTCTGTTCATGGACATTTTTTGTTGAACATCTACTCAGTTCTGTTCATGGACATTTTTTGTTGAACATCTACTCAGTTCTGTTCATGGACATTTTTTGTTGAACATCTACTCAGTTCTGTTCATGGACATTTTTTGTTGAACATCTACTCAGTTCTGTTCATGGACATTTTTTGTTGAACATCTACTCAGTTCTGTTCATGGACATTTTTTGTTGAACATCTACTCAGTTCTGTTCATGGACATTTTTTGTTGAACATCTACTCAGTTCTGTTCATGGACATTTTTTGTTGAACATCTACTCAGTTCTGTTCATGGACATTTTTTGTTGAACATCTACTCAGTTCTGTTCATGGACATTTTTTGTTGAACATCTACTCAGTTCTGTTCATGGACATTTTTGGTTGAACATCTACTCAGTTCTGTTCATGGACATTTTTTGTTGAACATCTACTCAGTTCTGTTCATGGACATTTTTTGTTGAACATCTACTCAGTTCTGTTCATGGACATTTTTTGTTGAACATCTACTCAGTTCTGTTCATGGACATTTTTTGTTGAACATCTACTCAGTTATGTTCATGGACATTTTTTGTTGAACATCTACTCAGTTCTGTTCATGGACATTTTTTG